CAAAAGTATGCCAATTGAACACAATTTCAATGTAAGTTTTATGAACAATTCAAAAACGTAACATGCATGAGTTCTCATGAACTCCAATTTCCAAAGCTTGATCAAATGCAAGATTCAACCTAAAATCATGATGAGGTTCTAAAGTATAACCATGATATGACCATGCATGTAAGAATTTCATGAAAACAACCTCAAGGTTCAAAGATATGTACATGCATGGGTGGGTTAACTCTCAAATCTACTCTTTTAGGCTATTTCTTGACTTAGCCTCTCATTTTCCATGAACCGTGCAATGAACAACTTAAATTCACAATCAAGAGGGTGATTTTCCAACCGTAAATCTTGAATTCCAAGTGTGGTAGCTCAATTGTGAAATTCTCCTTCAATTTTCCCTAAGTCTCAAGCAAATTCTCTTGTTGAACAAAGTTTCTACCAACTCTCTCTCTCTCTCTCTCTCTCTCTCTCCCCCCCACGTTTTGACCAAGGGAAAGGAACATAATGGTGACAAACATGCAATAGGCATAAGAGACATGGACTTGAGAGAGCCCACTCAATGGCAAGAGTGTAAATAACTCTAGCTAAAGTAATTCAATATCATTTATTCTAATTTAATTGTTCCAAATCAAATTTTAATTAAACCTACCATAAAATTCCATAAATCCTAATTAACACATAACACAAGTCAATTTTCTGAATCGGTCACCGATAGGGCTTTCAATTCGCAAAACGTAAATCAAAAGCCGAACAGATCTTTCAATGCTAGACAGATAGAGACACATCAATAATGCAATACACATGACATTAACTCATGATTTCTTCTTAATCACTTGATAGGCACACTTAAGCATAAATTAACATTCATTAAGGGTCGGGGTTGTTACATAGCCTATACAAGTACTACTATTACCATTTTACAAATATTTCGTCCACGGGAATCGGCATCCATATATATGCTCATTTTTCGGGACTTTCAGCTTGAACACACAGGCCAATTTAATTTGCTAATACACACATTTTCCAACGTTCACCCATTTTTCTCAAAATCATATACATTTGTAATGTATCAAATAAGCAACAATGTTCAATGCACATGGATGAGAAATTAATTTCAATTCACCTAATCCTCATGCAATTTCTACATCAATCATAGCTATCCTCTGTTGATAGCCCAAAACAAATATTTCTAAACAGATATACAATCTCTAGTACAGATAAACTTTCCAAAATTTAAGATGTGAGCAATAATGCATATCCAACTCCACCATCCATATCAATATCCATCCAATTTTATATTTCCAATAGGGCTTTCAATTCGCAAAACATAAATCAAAACCCGAACAGATCTTTCTATGCTAGACAGATAGAGACACATCAATAATGCAATACACATGACATTAACTCATGATTTCTTCTTAATCACTTGTTAGGCACACTTAAGCATGAATTAACGTTTATTAAGGGTCGGGGTTGTTGCAGTCTTCCTCCCTTAAAGAGTTTGGTCCCCCAAACTCGAGTTACCTTCATTCTGGAAGAATACTGGATTTAAAGGAAACAGTTCAGGGTATCTTTTCATCATGTCTTCTTCTATCTCCCAAGTTGCATAAGTTCCCGCATGATTCTGCCAATCCACCTTCACTAATGGGATTTCTTTGTTTCTTAGTCTTTTTATCCTTCGATTCACAATCTGAATAGACCTTTCCTCATAAGTATAATCATTCTTCAAAAGAACATGAGTCGGCTCAATCACGTGCAATGGATCCCTCAAATACTTCCAAAGCATAGAGACATGAAAAAGATTATGCATATGCTCCATTACTGGAGGTAGAGCCACTCGATGCGTTACCGGGCTGATCTTTTCAAGGATTTCATACGGCCCAACAAATCTCGGTGATAATTTTCCATCAACACCAAACCGTGTCTGTCCTTTCATAGGAGTCACTTTTATAAATACATGATCCCCAATCTCATATTCCCTATCTCTTCTTCGAACATCAGCATAATTCTTTTGCTGGCTTTGAGCAGTTTTTAACCTTTGCTGAATCAACTTCACATTTCCAGTGGTTTCTTGCACAAGTTCCGGTCCCAACAATGGTCTGTCGCCTACTTCAGCCCAACATACCGGAGATCGGCATTTTCTTTTATACAAAGCTTCATAAGGAGCCATTCCAATGCTTGAATGGTAACTGTTGTTATACAAAAACTCAGCTAATGGCAAATAAGTCTCCCAATTCCTTTGGAAATCTAACACACACATTCTAAGCATATCTTCCAAGGTTTGATTTGTCTGCTCTGTCTGCCCATTTTTCTGTGGGTGATAGGCACTACTGAACCTCAATTCTATCCCCAAGGCCTATTGTAAACCTTGCCAGAACCTCGATGTAAACTTCGAATCTCTGTCAGATACAATAGATACTGGCACACCATGCAATCTCACAATCTCATTCACATACATGTTAGCCAATTTATCCGCATTATAAATAGTCTTAACAGGCAGAAAATAAGCAGACTTAGTCAAACGATCAACTATAACCCAAATAGAATCCACGCCTCAAGAAGAGCAAGGCAATCCCACAATGAAATCCATGGTGGTATGCTCCCATTTCCATTCTGGTATTGGAAGCGGCTATAACAAACCGACAGGTCATTGATGTTCAACTTTGACCTGTTGACAATGTAGACATCTAGCCATAACATCTGTGATACACCTTTTCATTCCGGGCCACCAGAAATTTTGTTTCAAATCATGGTACATCTTTGTATTCCCTGGATGCATAGCAAACTTAGTATTATGGGCTTCAGACATAACACGCTTTCCCAAGTCACAGCAATCAGGTACACAAAGACGATTTTGAAATTTCAGCGCATTACTCTCAAACACAAACCCTGGCCTTGGCTTGGAAACAAGTTCTTCTATAACCTTTTTCAAGCATTCATCTTCAAGTTGCTTTTCTTTGATTTCATCAATGATTGCAGGCTGAGCGAAATAGCGGCTAGTATTCCGCCCTGTTCACGTATCACAATCTTAATCTCATTCCTTTCCAAGTCATATAACAGTTCTCTCTGGCTGGTAAGTAGACATGACAAATTTCCCATTGATTTTCGGCTCAAAGCATCTGCTACGGTATTAGCTTTCCCTAGGTGATACAAAATTTGCAAATCATAATCTTTAATCAGGTCTAACTATCGTCTTTGTCTTATGTTCAATTCTTTCTGGGTGAAGAAATATTTCAAACTTTTATGATCGGTGTACACCTCACAAGTTACCCCCTACAAGTAATGACGCTAGATTTTCAAGGCAAACACCACAGCTGCCAGTTCAAGATCATGAGTCGGGTAATTCTTTTCATAAGGGCGAAGTTGTCGAGAAGCATAGACAATTACTTTTCCATTTTACATCAGTACACAACCCAACCCTTTGTGCGAAGCATCACTGTAAATTTGAAATCTATCAATACCATTAGGTAAGGTTAAAATTGGTGCAGTCACTAACCTGGTTTTTAACTCTTGAAAGGCTGCCTCTCTTTGTTCGTTTCAATCAAATGACACATTTTTCAGGGTTAGCTGGGTCAATGGCATGGCAAGTTTAGAAAAGTCTCTCACAAATCTCCTGTAGTAACCAGCCAGTCCCAGAAAACTTCTAACTTCTGTCACATTCGTCGGTCTATGCCAATCCACAATAGTTTCAATCTTCTGAGGGTCAACAGAAACACCATCCTCGTTGATTACATGTCCCAAAAATGCTACATTGTCAAGCCAGAATTCACATTTGGACAATTTAGCATACAATTTCTTTTCTCTCAAAATCTGCAAGGTAGTTCTCAGATGGTTCCCATGTTCTTCCCTGTCTTTAGAGTAAATTGAAATGTCATCAATAAACACAACAATGAATTCATCAAGATATTGTTTGAAAACCCTATTCATTAGGTCCATAAAAGCTGCATGTGCATTTGTTACTCCAAAACGCATTACCAGAAATTCATAATGTCTATATCTAGTTTTGAATGCAGTTTTCTCTACGCCTTCTGCTTTAACCTTTAACTGATGATAACCGGACCTAACATCAATTTGAGAGAACACTTTGGCTCCTTGGAGTTGATCAAACAAATCATCTATTCGGGGTAATGGATGCTTGTTCTTAACGGTCACTTTGTTCAATTCTCAATAGTCAATACATAGTCTCAAAGACCCGTCTTTCTTTTTGACAAATAATACTAGAGCACCCAAAGGTAAAGTACCTGGGCAAATGAATTTCTTGTCTAAGAGTTCTTGAAGTTGGACTTTTAGTTCTTTCAATTCAGAAGTCGACATCCTATATGGAGTCTTGGAGATGGGTTGTGTTCCAGGTGTTACATTAATGGTAAATTCTATCTCTCTATCGATCAAGTCCCCAGGTAGATCATTAGGAAACACATCAGGAAAATCGCAAACTGCAGGAATAGTTTCAACACTGGCACTATCCGAAGGCACAGTCAACACGCTACACAAATAGCCCTGACACCCCTTTCTTAACAGTTTTTTGGCTTT